GTCTACGTTATTCTCAAAAACAACGGGTACAATAAAAAAAAATATTTTTTGATTTGGATGAAACTTCACCCAGTGTGATACCCCATCATCAGAAATGCGGACCCAACTTTTTGAGCCATTTCCTCTTACTGTAGCCGGGTTACGGTAGGCAGGTGGGCACCTGCGTATCTCAGTATTGAAGAGTTTTTACTAGGCGAGTGATATATCAATCGATAGGTAATCCAATTTCAAGAACTTTTTACAGTACATACCATCTTGGGTTACGGTCGAAAAAAATTTTTGAGTTACGGTACTTTTTTGTGTCTGCCGAGTCAGTTTTTTTCGACCACCATGAGCTTGAGCCAAGAGATCCATTCTTCCTAACTTCTCAAAAGATACCTTATGAGAAGCTGTACAAGCTGGTACTAGTTTGAAAAAAATCCTAGGTGGACCATCATTTCGTAAAAATCGCCCCTGAAGGCGCGCAATCGTGGTCTTGCGGCGGCCAAGTGGGTGAAGTCCATGATGCCGGACGGCTCATTTTTTTCACAGATCTATTCCAATCTTTGTTTCCATTTCACTCATAGATGTCTATTATTGATTTTTTTATTTCAATTTGAGATGTTTTTCGGGTTGACCATCATTTCGAAATTTCATTTTTGAACCCAAATTTGGCCTGAAAAAGGGCCGACATGGCTTTTTTTCCACGGGATCCCTGACTTCGTATGTGACCGTTCTCAACTTTTTTCTTTTTTAAACATGAACAAGAGTGCCTGAACAACAGTTTTATAACAATCGGAAACCCTTTTGAGAGGACCATCATCTCGAAATTTCATTTTGAACCCAAATTTGGCCTGAAATGGCCGACTCGGCCTTTTTCACGGGATCCCTGACCCCGTATGTGACCGTTCTCAACTTTTTTCTTTTTTAAACATGAACAAGAGTGCCTGAACAACAGTTTTATAACAATCGGAAACCCTTTTGAGAGGACCATCATCTCGAAATTTCATTTTGAACCCAAATTTGGCCTGAAATGGCCGACTCGGCCTTTTTCACGGGATCCCTGACCCCGTATGTGACCGTTCTCAACTTTTTTCTTTCTTAAACATGAACAAGAGTGCCTGAACAACAGTTTTATAACAATCGGAAACCCTTTTGAGAGGACCATCATCTCGAAATTTCATTTTGAACCCAAATTTGGCCTGAAATGGCCGACTCGGCCTTTTTCACGGGATCCCTGACCCCGTATGTGACCGTTCTCAACTTTTTTTCTTTTTTAAACATGAACAAGAGTGTCTGAACAACAGTTTAATAACAATCGGAAACCCTTTTTGAGAGGACCATCATCTCGAAATTTCATTTTTGAACCCAATTTTTGGTTATTTTTTTCACAAAAAAATAGTCACATGACGAATGTCTTGTTTTTTTAGGTATGAAAAAAATTTTTGAAGATTTAGAACTACTATTTAGGTTATAATAAAAAAACATTTATAAAAAAATCACCTTGAAAGTTAAGTTTCAACCTCACCGGTGGTCAGAGTGTCGGGTTTTTCTCTTTCATGAAAAAAATTACTTGGTATTTCACATTTCTCATTTTTGATTACCTGTTTTGAAAATAAATTGGCAGACTAGATTTTGCTGTAAATGATAAAAACTTCAAATGGGGAAACTAAGCCGATATTTGGGTTCAAAATGAAATTTCGAGATGATGGTCCTCTCAAAAGGGTTTCCGATTGTTATAAAACTGTTGTTCAGACACTCTTGTTCATGTTTAAAAAAGAAAAAAGTTGAGAACGGTCACATACGGGGTCAGGGATCCCGTGAAAAAGGCCGAGTCGGCCATTTCAGGCCAAATTTGGGTTCAAAATGAAATTTCGAGATGATGGTCCTCTCAAAAGGGTTTCCGATTGTTATAAAACTGTTGTTCAGACACTCTTGCTCATGTTTAAAAAAGAAAAAAGTTGAGAACGGTCACATACGGGGTCAGGGATCCCGTGAAAAAGGCCGAGTCGGCCATTTCAGGCCAAATTTGGGTTCAAAATGAAATTTCGAAATGATGGTCAACCCGAAAACATCTCAAATTGAAATAAAAATCAATAATAGACATCTATGAGTGAAATGGAAACAAAGATTGGAATGGATCTGTGAAAAATGAGCCGTCCGGCATCATGGACTTCACCCACTTGGCCGCCGCAAGACCACGATTGCGCGCCTTCGGGGCGATTTTTCGAAATGATGGTCCACCTAGGATTTTTTCAAACTAGTACCAGCTTGTACAGCTTCTCATAAGGTATCTTTTGAGAAGTTAGGAAGAATGGATCTCCTGGCTCAAGCTCATGGTGGTCGAAAAACTGACTCGGCAGACACAAAAAGTACCGTAACTCAAAATTTTTCGACCGTAACCCAAGATGGTATGTACTGTAAAAGTTCTTGAAATTGGATTACCTATCGATTGATATATCACTCGCCTAGTAAAAACTCTTCAATACTGAGATACGCAGGTGCCCACCTGCACACCGTAACCCGGCTACAGTAAGAGGAAATGGCTCAAAAAGTTGGGTCCGCATTTCTGATGATGGGGTATCACACTGGGTGAAGTTTCATCCAAATCAAAACATATTTTTTTTTATTGTACCCGTTGCTTTTAGAAATTTTTTAGAATAACGGAGACAGCGTGTTAAATTCTTCTTTTCGGTTCTTGGATAACCATAACAGCTTCAAAATTTTTTTTACGAATCACCTTTTTCGATGAGCTCGCCGACCTGCAGACCCGTCTGTTGGGATACGACGCCGACGAATCCGAGCACGGTCAAAGTTTGGACCAAAGTGATGAAAACGTGCCACAAGATCACCAGAAAGGCATTGCTGCAGACATTGTCCAATTCTTGAGCCTTTTTTCAAGACTCACCAGACAACGTTCCTATCCCGTTTGTTATAACTGCTCAAGGTGATGAACACTCCGAATCCGATTCCCGAGGCCAGAATGGCTTGTTCGCAGGCTAGTTTCCAAACCTGTCAAAAATCAAAATAACGGAATGAGATAAGGAAAAGTCGACCTGAATTTCGTAGAGACGACTCCAATCGGTGGCGTTCCAGTAGACGTAGAAGACTTTATCGAAGCCGCCTGACGCGGCCACCGCCATCAGAAGACCGAGTAGCATCACGAAAGAAACGACTAGTGTGAAGGCGACAAACTGAAAAATACTTCTTCAAAAATATATCATTTTAAGAAGACGCTTAGAAAGGCTTTTCTAGGGTTACCAATTGATAATTACATCAATCTGCGATATCTAAAATGTATTTCCAAAATGTAGAAATTATTTTTCAAGTATTTTCGACCCATTTTATCATGTTTGACATTGACCAGTACAAGTCTGAACTCCTAGTGGGACATATCGATAAGACTTTTTCCCGATTTGAAAGGCGATATGGGCAGATTGGCGAGGCAGAAGCGTTGCGTACGTGACGCGGCTTTTCTTAGAAACTTTTGAGTGGTCCCTATAGAAGTTAGAGAAAAAAAAACAGTCCCTATCAAAAAAGTGCTCCTTCTAGAAGCTTAAGGTCTGACCCCTCGGCCCCTAAAGTGGTCGCAATAGGGGTCGATCCATTTTATTCAAAAAAGGTTTTTTTTTTAGTTTTTTGCACGGAAATCTTCGCATTTCGATAGGGACCACTTTTGCAAGCTTTAGTGGCCACTATAGGGGTTGATAAAGAAGCCCCTAGAAGGAGTTCTAAGATTCCTCTATAAGGACGAATCTGCAGTTCCTAAGTTTGACAAGAAACTCGAAATAAACGCGATTCACCTTTTTTTTTTCTTTCTTGACAGTCATAACGCCAATTTCTTCATTTCGCCTTTAAAGTCGAGAAAAAAAATTTTTGAGCTTGAAGAGATTTATTCTCCTAATTTTTGCAACCACAACTTCTATCATACGTTCGAGCGGCATTTTTCAGCTCAGACTCCAAATCAGCAAAAAAAAAGAGCAAACAGCATTAGAAATTCCACTTTGGGTTCAGAACATGCTCAATGTGATAAAAAAAAACCAAACAAAAATATCTTTCGAAAACATAAAAAAGTACCTTTCCTAGGAATCTCACACCTAAGCAAATGGCTGAGAAGACGATGACCCAAACGGCGGCTTGGGCGATCAAAACGTCGATTTGCAGTTCTCCGTATTCATCGATAGACTCGCTGGCCCTTTCGACAGACCTGAAAAAGTTGGGATGAAACGGAAGGAAAAAAATTCGTTTTTCACGTCATAAACTGCATCAAGGAGCTCTCCGCCTGTACGGCACTCAATTTCGTGTGCGACTCGTGGCTGAAGTTGGAAATGGAGCCGGCTTCACGACAAGGGAACGACAGGAACTCCGGAAAGTTCTTGCAGTGCAGCCATGGAAGCCCTGCGAAAGTTGCTCGTTAGAGAATATTTAGACTTGCTAACCTGGTCGAGAGGCTTGTACCGTCCAAAAAAGGTAATAGATATAAATGAAGAGCCAAGCGACGAACTTGGTCATACAAGCAAGAACGACTAGTGTGAACAAAATCATAGACACGCCCACACCTAAACGTTTTTCATTCCAATCGGCTCAGTGGTTGGGGAAAACCTTTGAAAGACGGGCAAAGATTGTAGAAAGCGAGAACGGGCGCGCGGCCGGTGAGCTGGCCGACTGTGAACTCGGCGACGATCGTGGGAAGAACGCAAAATAATAAAGAAGCCAAATAGGCACATCCAAATGCCACTGAAACATTTTCATCTTCACGTTTTCAGGGTTTCCGAAGCTCGTCATGTTTTATGTATGAAAATACTTTAAAAAATTCCGTCTACATAAATCACGTATTGATATATTCTGTTCAAATTTCGAATCTCAAGTCGGCGCTCAAGCTCCGCCCCTAATGGTGCTAGAAAAACCAATCAGGGAGCGAGCCACCCACAAAGTGTTTTCGAATAATTTCATTGCACTTAACATTCAAAATCTGAAAAGACACAAGAAGCCAAAATTTTACAGAAAAACAATAATTGCCGAAGTTTTTTTAAACCTTTCTGAATCATAGACACCAAAAAAATCAAAAAAAAGAAAAATTGGAACTACCTTCCTAAGTTTGAAAAAAATTTATGGTTA